AAATTTTAATTAAATCTGACACCTGTGATCAACATCAGATTTATTATTCATAAGGAACCATAATTGATAATCATGAAGAAAAATTTATTTTGTGAATCCCAGAGATCTGGGTAGACACACATTATTAAAAGTTTTATTTATGCATGGCCCTGGTATTTTTTATTACCTGGGTGATGCAATTGTTTGTTATGTCAATGACAACATCAAAATGTACTGAATAATCTTTGTGATGAACGTGGAGACAAAGGAATTCACACACAAGGTAAGTATTAAATAGCAATATTATGTTTGCTTATTTTATTTTTATTTTAACCAAAATATATAATTAAGATTAATTATAGTTTATTTATATTTTTATTATTTAATTAATTGTTAATATATATTTATCACGAAATTCTTCATTGAATAAATAAAAAGAAAAAATAGATTAACAATTAATCATAAGACTTATTTTCCTTCAAAGTATTTTTGCTTTTTATTAGATAATAATGCACCTTCATTTTGCTTTCTTTTTCTGACATTATTATTTTTCTTTCTTCTTGGTAGATTTCATAAGTAATCCTTTCTTTCCTCAGGTAAGATTCCAGTGTCTGAGTATCATTTATTTGAAAATATAAAGGAACAATTTTTTCTCTTTGCTCTTCTTTTAATTACTTCTGATTATACTATAATTCTTGGGTTCCATGGTAGATTTGATGTAAATTAATTTCATATTAACTATTTTTATATAGGGGTAATTCTATATATCACTTAAGATAGAGAGACATTATAAAACTGATCACACTAAAATCATACTAAATTTTGATCCCTGTAATACCAATGTTCACTTTGTCTGGTTATGTTGATCTTGTTTACCCTTTCAATTTGTTTGTGGTAATTACAGCAGAGAGCACTTATGTCCTCTACTGTCTTCATAAGCAGTTACATCTCAATCAAGCATTACTTTGCATTGAAGGCAGAAAATTGTTATTCTATCTCATATTTCACTACCTTTGGTGTTAAAACTTCTTATCTTAAAAGGTCAATCAAACTCTTCTTTTCTTTTACACTTTTCTAAGGCTTCTTTAAAAATCTTTTTTTATTCCTTTCTCAATCAGCAATATTATTATCTAATCCTTGTTGCAACAAAGTTTCATCACATCCTCAACAACAAAATTTAATGATTTCTCTTCCTTCTTCATCTCATCAATTAATTGTTAAACCATCTTTTATATTAAAACATTGTTTGATAATAGCAGGATAATAAGTTTTTTTCTTGTGTTGTTTTTAATGTAGTTTTAACAAAAAAATCAAGTCAGTACTCAATCATGAAAGAGGACTCTTGAAATTATGGTTGGAGTGGAACATTATTGTTGGCTTCAGAAATATCACCAAGAAAGATAAAAATAGACAGTAAGTTTGTTTGTATTAGATTTTTTTGCCCAGAGATTTCTGTCTTTTGTTTTATAATTGGTGCATTCTCATACTGCTTTCTTTTCTTAATTATTTTTCTTTCTTCTTGGTAAATTTCACAAGTAATCCATTCTTTTCTTAGATAAGTTTCCAATGCCCGAGTATCATTTATTTTGAAAATATAAGGAGCAATTTTTTCACTATAATTCTTTGAGACCTAATTTCGTATTAACTATTTTTGTCTAGACAAATATCATGATAATACAACGGTGATGTTAAATACTATTGATCCCTGAAATTCTTGGTAATACCAATGTTCACTTTGTCTGGTATGCCCCATTTTTACTTGATAAGCAAATACGATTGGAATAATAAAATTTTTGCATGTCACTTTATTCAATTATAATTATTTTTGATGATCTGCAAGTGTCCTTATATTTTTGACCAGGAGTGTGTATCTATTATTATAAGGATTATATACTAAGGATACCGGCTGCAACTTTTGATGATGGTTGCTACCATCTTTGCGTCATATAAAAATGATTTCAACCACTGGTTACAACCACCTTTACGACCATTTTGTTTCATTTTTTGGATTTCGACATGGAACACTATTATATACAACTGTTGAGAAAATCAGACCATGTTTGCTTTAGCACAATAATGAGATACAAGACTTCAAAAACACGTGAACATAATTTTGCAGGGACCATTACTCAAAAAAATTTATAATGTTCCTAGTATTAATACTAACCACATTTTGTCAAGACTCGCACATTCAAAAAAAAATTTAAGAATTTTTGTTGTGTAACAGTACAAATTTAGAAACTATCTCCGGAAACTTGAAATTTGATTGGATAATAATGTTACATCCGCGAATTCCGCGTATTGAAACTTCAACACCAAAGCTGCTGATATATCGTTATAAGCAATTAATGATTATCGCCGTTCATAATAAATTATTAATGTGCAAGTCAACAAGAGCCAATAACTTTAGCATCTAAAAACAAGCACGTGAATAAAATTTCAATAATATAATAATAATAATAATAATAATAATAATAATAATAATAATAATAATAATAATAAGACAACGAACGTAATAGTAAATCGAAAGTCTAACCTCGTCCAATCCATCAGTTATTTGCCTGATATTTTGATTATAATCATCTACGATCATTACCACCGTAACGGTGAGGTACTTTGGCGTTTTAATGATCATATCCTACTACATTATTGATATGTACGAATCATTTTAATTCTGTTACATATTAATAATTATATAGGTCCTTTCCTTTTTTTGATTAAGAAATATAATAATTACAACAATAATGAATGTTTTTCTTGTGGGTTACGAACCGTTTCTATTTTCGGAGAAAATAGATATTGTGTCTGTATTTGTGCCAAGGCATTTGTTGGACGAATTTGTTAGTTTTGGGACAAGCACAAGAAATATGACGATCTTTGTTGAAAAGAGTAATAGGTTTATTACAAAAAAAATTAATTATTTCTCTTCACAGTTAATTTCATTAATTTAAATCTTCTTTTTATTAAAAGAAAGAATATATTATACATATTATTTACCAAAATTATAATAAAAAAAGATTAAAATAGGAAAAAATACATCATATTGGTTATAGGTTTTAAAAAAATATATCTTTGTAATGACAAAATTTACAAATGACTATATAGTATTACTAAGTTTCATAATAATATGTTACGTCAGGATAATATCGATCAAAGCTCAGAGCCCTATAACTATCCAGTTATTTGATTCAATAATATCAAACGCAACTATAAAATCTGGACAAACAATTCATTACATGTATAATGTTAGTCAAGCAGGAAATGTACTGCTAAGGAACATTAGGAGAGATATATCAACAGAAAAGACATCATTGGAAACCGATAATTCACAAATTGTAAAAAATAATCTGATAACAAATAACATATTTATAACGTTGACAATTTGTAAACAACCGCTTTCAGCTGAAAATAACACAATACCGGAAACATTACAAATATTTTATTCTAATTACTCGGTACCAAGTGCAGACGATAGTAATAGCAACCCAATTAATTGGGATTATGGGTTTGCATCAAAAAATTTAACAAATTATGAGGAAAATGTGCTATACATAGGAGTTTTTGCTCCTACATTTAACGCGGAATTTGCAGGGGATTATAATTTTCAAATTGGAGTCTCATCAAAAGGTAATGTTTTAAAAAGTTTATTATATTAATATTTAAATTTTTGATATTTATTCTATATTATATGCTAACATATAAAAAAACAACAACAAAACAGTTCCTTTGCATTACTATCCACAAGATAATGGTTTTTTTTTGGAAGATACTGATAATTCAACCGCCTTATTTGCAAGCGTTGAAACTTTTAGTGATACCAATTTTGATACAAGTAGTTATAAATTATATTACGTTGAAGAGCCACCGCTAAAAGGAATCACAAAATCATTATGTGCATATCAATCTGCTCCACAAAATACCACCGCCGCTGTTATCAACTTTACGTCAAGGGGCAGCTCAGGGACAAATAAAAGAATGTCATTACAATTGAATAACATAGCTAATGGGACAAATTATGTTGCTTTTGTGACACAGCAGCAGAATCAAAATTTATTGAGATCTTGGAATCCTATATCATTCAGAACCAAACCACGTAAGTTTTTTTTTCTCTTTTTCTTTTTTTTTTTTTTTAAAAAAGTAATTGTATATTAATTTTTATTTTTTATATTCATATTTTATAATTAAATAGAAAATAATTGTAAATTGATTAGCGGACTTGGATTTTGTGATAAAGTCGCATATGCAGTGCCGGCAAATCCGGGTATTCCGGTAGACCGTATAACGAAATTTTACGACGAGCTTTCAACTAAATATTACAAAAATTTTACAAACGCACTAGATTTATTTCCATGTGATAATTCAAATTATTCATTAGTTAAAAATTGTAGTGATTGTAGTGAAGCTTATAAAGACTGGATATGCGCAGTAACAATTCCACGTTGTGCTGACATAGAATTAGCAACAAGAATTATCAGAAACGTTAATGACAGCCGTGTAAGTGAAATAGATGAGACGATGAGACCTGGTCCTTATATAGAGACACCGCCTTGTGTTGATTTATGTTATAATGTGTCAAGATCATGTCCTCCAATTTTTAATTTTAAATGCCCGTTGTTACCTAACATAGCAAATTCAAGTTATGGATATATGGATTTAAACTCGTTAAACTTGAATCCAAATCAAAATTTATTGTGCAATCCGATGCAAAATTTCCCGTATGTCCAACAAAGTATGGCAACGAGACTAAACAGTGGTCACTTAATGACAACAACATTTTGGAATAGTATAATTTTTGGATTTATATATATAATTTTTGGCTTTTTAATGTCATCATCATCAAATTAACATTTAATATATAGCATCAAAAAAAATTTTTATTTTAAAAAAGTGCTTTTCTTTAGAATTATTTTTTTTTTTTTTTTTTAAAAAAATATATATATCGGTGTGTATATATAATATATATATGTATAATTAATTTTTAATTTAATTTAATTTTCCTAATTTTCTAATTTTATACATTCTCATTCACTCACACTCACATTTCAAAATTTTTTATAATCTAAAAAAAAAATATGTTATCAATAGATATCATATATAATTTAGTGATCACAATTTTCATTATTATATTATTAATTTAATATTTTTTTTTTGTAAATACAAATAAATATAAATATAAACATATATATCAAATATCACATATATATAAAATTTAATCGTGATCTTTATTTATTTTTTGATAAAATATTTATTTCTTTGTATACAATATATTAATTATGATGCGTACATTAGATTCCCTCAATTATAATTCGTTTTTCATTATTATTTTGTCTTTCAATCACATGTCCAATTTTATAAATCTTGGTATCACTATCAGATTCTTGAAGTTGATCTATAACTTGACTTTCATTTTCAGATGATACAATCAACACCATTCCAATTCCACAATTGAACGTTCGATATAATTCATCTATTATTACAACATAAATAATTACTTTTAAAATAATAACAACAACAACAATAATCTAATTCATGTAAATATAATAATAAATTATACCTGATGGTATATTTCCATTACTTGTCAGCCATTTGAATACTTGAGGTAATTCCCATGATTTTGAATTTATATTTACACCAAGATTTTCAGGCAAAACTCTTGGTATATTATCCACAAAACCACCACCAGTAATATGAATCATCGCTTTAACAAGTTTCTTTTTATTTTTAATCAATGGTAATAATTGTTTAACGTAAATTTTGGTTGGTGTAAGAAGACTTTTACCTAATGATGTTTTTGAATCCCATGGACATGTTGATTCATATTTTAAATTCTTTTTTGTTATAATCTTTCGAATCAATGAAAATCCGTTGGAATGAATTCCTGAAGAAGCTAGTCCAATAAGTATATCGTTAACCTTGATATCTGACACACGTGGTAACAGATTTTCACGTTCTACAGCTCCAACTGCAAATCCTGCCAAATCATACTCTTCTAATAATTTTAATAGTGTATTACGTATAACACGAGAATATAAATGGTTAAATTAGAAAAAAAAAGTAAAATTATATATATATATATAAAGATATGTGTGTTAAACTACCATCTTTGTAAATTCCTGGCATCTCTGAAGTTTCACCTCCAATTAAAGCACATCCAGATTCATGGCATCCGTTAGCAATGCCTTCAACCACATTCTTGGCAACATCAACATTTAATTTTCCACATGCATAATAGTCAAGCAAAAATAAAGGTTCAGCGCCTTGAACAATTAAATCATTAACATTCATTGCGACCAAATCAATTCCTAAAAGAAAAATAATAATAATAACAATTAAATAAAAATTCAATTATTCTCCTTTTATTTTTTTTTTTTTGGAGAGGAAATGCCAACTAACCAATTGTATTATGAATTCTTGTTTCTTGCGCAATTTTCAATTTAGTGCCAACACCATCTGTTGTGGCTATTAATATTGGATCTTTAAAGCCTGTAGCCTTTAAATCAAACAAACCACCAAATCCTCCTAGCTCACAATTGGAACCAACTCTTTCAGTTTTCTTTACCAGTGATTTAATTTTTTGAACGAGCAAATTTCCTGAATCAATAGAAACACCAGCAGATGCATATGTCATTACCTCTTCACTGTTAGCAGATGGATTGTTCGAGATATGTTTAAAAGCACTAAGAAAAGAAAAAAAGTAATTTATTTACAAGTCATAAATTAATCTCTTTATTATATATATATAATATAATATAAATTTATGTCAAATAATTTATAATAATTACCGATGTGCGATGTCTTTTCTATAATACATATTTTCAAAATTAATATTTTTTAAATCTTTATATGCTTTATCAACCGCATCTCTTAATGTTGAAGCAACTCCAGTAACTGCTAATACACGTCCACCAGAAGTAACTAGTTTATTATTTTTTCTAATTGTACCAGCATGAAAAATTAATGTGTCTATTATCAGTAAACAAATAAATGAATGGATGAATGTTTGAAACAAAAGATTGTTAGTGATTAGTGATTAGGTGTATCTAAAAAATCATTTCCATGAAATAATTTGGTTTTCATTTTTACCAGATTGAAGATTTTGAAATGTAATTTCTTTCCCTTTAGCATAACTACCAGGATAACCACCCGATGCTATAATAACAGTCGCAGAATGTCCTGGTTTGATATTGATCTTAATCGAATCCAATCTACGTTCAATACATGCCTATAAATTGAATATCGATTCTTATTAAATTTATATATATATGATTTTTTTTAATTTTCAAAAAAATTGTTTTTAAAGTTTTTATGTTCACCAACCATCATTATTTCAGCTAAATCAGTATCATCACTCAATAATGGCAAGACTGTTTCTGTTTCAGGATCTCCAAAACGAACATTATATTCTAGTACTTTAGGTCCATCTCCAGTTACCATCAAACCAGTAAAAAGCATGCCAACAAATGGATAACCTGATAATATCTTGAAATATATAAACAAGAAATTCTGCGATGCAATAATTTCAAAAAAATCAAGACAAAACGAACATTATATTCTAGTACTTTAGGTCCATCTCCAGTTACCATCAAACCAGTAAAAAGCATGCCAACAAATGGATAACCTGATAATATCTTGAAATATATAAACAAGAAATTCTGCGATGCAATAATTTCAAAAAAATCAAGATCATTAAAAAAATATTTATATAATAATAATAAATAATATTCCTAACTACCATCATGACGCAGTCCATCAATAGTAGGTTGAAGTATTGTAGAATTTATTTGCTGTAAAAGTTCTGGAGTTGCAATAGGAGCTGGACAATAACAACCCATTCCACCAGTATTTGGCCCCTATAATAAATATATTCATTAGTAAAAATCACATATTACTTTTTTAAAAAAATTGATTACTACTTATTTACAAAAGAAAAAGATTTTAATATATATACCTGATCACCATCAAAAATTCTTTTATGATCTTGTGCAGGAGGAAGAGATACTATGGTATATCCATCAGAAAAAGTTAATATACTCAATTCTTGTCCATCAAGAAATTCTTCAATGACAATTTCGTCGCCTTTAAACAAAAAAAAAGACCAAATATAAAAAATTATAATGTTGTTGTTGTTATTATTGATTAAAAAAAACAATTCT